AAAAAAATAAAGGAAAAAAAAATTAAGTACTAACTCCTCCTTTCAAAACACCAACAGAAATCAGCAATACATTTATCCAAACTATCCTCCATATATACATAAATATATCTTTTCCCCTCCTTTCTTTTGTCCTTTTTCTCATCCTAGTTTTTCCTTCCCATTGAACAAATTCTTTCCCTTTTACAGTATCTACTGTAACTTTCATTTTTATTTACTCTTTCAGGTTCTCACATTAGCAAGTTAATATATTTGCACAGGTGGATCTGGTTTATTTCACCTACCAATATAATCTCTACTTGCATACACTTATGTATAAAAGCCTCAAATTTATCTTTTTTATAGCTAAATAAATACTCCATTGTGTAAAAATATCAGATTTGTATTATCCATCCTTTAGTAGATGGACATTTGGGTTGTTTATAAGAATTAGCTATGACAAATTTTGCTACTATAAATGTGGGTGCACATGTTATCACAGTGTTATGATGATTTCAGTTCTTTTGGAAAAATACCTAGGAGGGAAATAGCTGGCTTGAATGGGTAGAATATAGGTTCTTGCAGTAGGCATTGATGATCTTCTGGATTTCTGTAGCATCTGTTGTGATTTCATCCTTTTCATTCCTGGTTTCATGGGCTTGAGTTTTTTTCTTTCATTTTAAAAATACATTTGACTAAAGGTTCATGAATCTTATTTAATCTTTCAGTGAGCTGACTCTTTGGTTTATTGATTTTTTGTATTATTTTCTTAGTCCTTATAATTTCCTCCCTTGTATGAACTTTGGGCTTTACCTTTTTTTTCTTTTTTCTGTAAGCTTGAAATTCATCATTAGGTTTTTATGTGAACTTGTTCTGTTTTTCTGCTATGGGTATTCACTACTATAAATGTCCCTTGAAGGGCTGCTTTTATGATGTCCCCTAAGTTCCAGTATGTTGTACTGGCATTATTGTTTAATTATAGAAACTGCCTAATTTGTTCTTTAATTTCATCTGTGACCCAGTGTTGTTTAGGAAGGTGTTATTTAATTTTCATGTGTTTATAAAGTTTTTGTGGTTGCTTTGGTACTGATTTCCAATTTCATTGAAATTTGGTCTGATAATAGGCATGGATAATTTCAATTCCTTTGCATTTATTTAAGGATGTTCTATGAGCTATGTAGTCTATTTTGGAGAACATCTTGTGTGCAGCTGAGAATGATTTGTATTCTGATTTTGTGGGGTGAAACACTCTATAGACACATACTAAACCCATATGTTCAAAGGTTTGAACAAACTAATATTATTTCATTGTTGATTATTTGTCTAGTTGATCTTTTTATGGCCGTGGGTTATTGATGTCCCCCATTATAATTGTATTAGTGCTTATTTATTTTTCATGTCTGTTAAGACTTGTTCTATATATCTGAGTGCAGTGGTATTTGGTGCATATATATTTATGATTGTTATCTCTTCCTCTTGGATTGTTCTTTTTACAAGTATGTGGTAACTTTTATCTTTCTTATAAGTATTGGCTCGAAATCCACTTCAGCTGCAAAAAGAACAGCTACCCTGCTTTTTTTCTGGATTCCTGCTGCATGGAGAAAATTTCAGTTGAAAATAACTGAACTTTCCTTCATATTTCAGTCTATGAATTTCACATGTGGACCCTTCAACTTTCAGTCTATGAATTTCTTTTTGAATTAAATTTGTTTCTTACATGCAGCATATTGTTGGATCCTGGTTCTTGATCCATTTCACCAGTCTGTTTCTTTTAATTGGTGAATTGATACCATTAACATTGATGGCTGTAACTGATACATATTAACTTATCCTGCCATGTCATTTTCCTATTGTTGACTCCATTATTTTTCCCTACTTCTAACAGCTTGCCTTGCCTGGTAGACTCACTCTATTGGGGTTCATAGAGTCATTAGATGGCATATGATTTTTTCTGAAGAAAGTTACTATTCTCAGTGTTGTTTCTCTGTTTGCAATAGGTCTTTTCTGATTTCTCTTTGGCTGGTTTTGCATTTTTTCAGAAATTTGGCTATGAAATGCTAAGATGATGCTCTCTCTCTCTCTCTCTCTCTCTCTCTCTCTCTCTCTCTCTCTCTCTCTCTCTCTCCCTCCCCCTCTTTCCTTTATTTTTTTTCCTTTTTGTGGTA